CTTAAACATACTAAAATTTTACAAAGCCCATCCTAAACAAAGTATGAGTGAAAAAGACTGAAAGGAGGATCTCAAAGCAGTCCAACATCCTTTGCACCAGCGCCAGTCCTCGCCTCACATTCTCCTTGTCCTTCTCTCTTTCCAAAATAATATTATATATTAATCCTCAAAAATCTCCATCTCCTAACTTATCCTTTATTATTTATAAAGCTGCTTCTCACACGCACGTTATAGCTTTCTAACACCACTCCATATCCCTGACATTCCCTTCCTCCCCTGCTCCTTTAATGCTTCTCCCTCCTCCTCCTCTAATCATCTTTCTTCTTCTTTTCCCAATCTCCTAATTATCATTACTTAATGATGCCTCTCGAATCATGGCTCACCAAATTCAAATCCGCCGCCGTGGTAAACCTACCCGACTTCTTACATCGCAAGGCCAAGGTCTCCATCCTCGCCTTCGAGATCGCCGGCCTCATGTCGAAGATCCTTCATCTCTGGCGCTCACTCTCCGACGCCAGCCTTGTCCGCCTCCGGAACGAGACCATTATGCTTCCCGGCGTTCGCAAGCTCGTCTCAGACGACGATGCCTTCTTACTCGCCCTCGCATGCGCTGAGCTCACGGATGGACTTCGTTACGCCGTTGCGTCCATCTCTGCTCTTTGTCGCCGCTGCACCGACCCTGCTCTCCGCCAGTTTGGTTGTCTATTTAAGGAGTTCGGTGATTCCGGCGGCGATCCGCACCGCTGGGTGATGACGTGGAAGGAGATGGATGCGAAGGCGAAGAAGATGGACGGTTATGTGGCTTCTGCGGCTGCGCTTTATAAAGAGATGGATGAGCTCGCGGAGGCAGAGCGCGGCCTGGGAAAGGTTTTGGGAGCCGAGGTATAAGATGAGCCGTAATTACATATTAGTTAGTTAAGTTCGGTTTATCTGTATAAAATTGATGTAGTTTAGCGTTTTTTTTTTTGGCAAAAGAATAATAATTTTAGATTTTAAATCTTTGAAATATACGAAATTTTTTTATAAAAAAATTATTAATTATGAGTTTATTTCTAAATTTTTTAAGTACTGAGAGAGCTATAAAGACTATTATATTTTATTGATAAAAAAAATTATTAATTATGAGTTTATTTCTAAATTTTTTAAATACTAAGAGAGCTATAAAGACTATTATATTTTATTCTAGGGAATTCTAAAAAATATTATGAAATTTCAAGGGGAGAGGAGAGTATATAGGAGAGTATATTAATTTCCTGACAATTTTCATAATTTTTTCTTAATTTGAAAAAAAAAACATAATTAGCTATATTTTCAGCAGTGATTGA